GATTCTGTTCGGTAGACTGCAACAGCATGGAATAGCGATCAACCCGAATAAATGCGTGTTCAGGCAGAAGAGTGTCAACTTCCTTGGACATGTGATCAGCGCCGAAGGCATCAAGCCCTTGCCCGAAAAGGTCCAAGCAATTATCGATTTCCAGGAACCAGCTGAAAAAGGACTTCGACGATTTCTAGGAATGTCCAATTTTTACAACCGATTTCTAAAAGATATCGCAAGTATACAGGCACCATTGCTTAAGGTAATTTCTGGGCGTAAACGGAACAACGAAAATCGAGTAGACTTCTGAGCTCAAACAATCCTTTCAACGAGTCAAGGAACATCTCGCTCAAGCCACCTCGCTCGCATTTCCAGACAGCAATGCAACATTCTCGTTGCAAACAGACGCCTCAGACAAAGCAATCGACGCGGTATTGTAACAGTACAGCAACGGATTTCTCCAACCACTCAGCTTCTTTTCAAGGAAACTAATACGTACACAAACTAAGTATAGTGCATATGATAGAGAACTATTAGCTATCTATGCGGCTATCAAACATTTTCGATATATGTTAGAAGGACGAAATTTTCACGTTATCACGGATCATAAACCTCTCATTTATGCATTCAAGAAGAAGTCAGAACAAATGTCGCCAAGACTCGTCACCTACTCTTCTTTTCAGAATTCACAACTGATGTACGTCACGTTTCAGGCGCCGATAACATCGTAGCAGATGCATTATCTCGCGCCGACACTATCGTGATGCCAACTAGTCTCGATGTGCAGGAGATTGCAGAAGCTCAAGCCTCGGATGATGAGTTGCAGCAACTGAAGCAATCCACATCAACGTCTTTGAAGCTCAAAAAATTTATCTTATCGGAAACAGCCTCCAATATTTACTGGGACACTTCAGAACAAGAGATCAGACCTTACCTTCCTGGACCACTACGAAGGCGAGACATGGTGCATCAAATGTCGCATCCAAGCGGCAGAGCAACTCACCGGCAAATTGCACAAAAATTCGTGTGGCCTTCCATATCTAAAGACATTAAAGAGTGGGCACTTGTCTAGCACAACAATCTAAAATTCACCGTCATAACCACACCCCTCCTACCAAAATAACAGTATCAGATACTCGTTTCGAGCATGTACATATCGA